TGGTCACGCCGCAATCCCTTCTCCTCCATTCTCCTCTCAGGATCTTGGGCACGCACGCACACGCGCCTGGCGTGAGTTTTAAGCCACCGGGTCCGGGACACGAACCGCGGTCGACTACGTGGGAGTCCAGCGACATAGCCATTACGCTAACTACTGACTGGTTCTTTATTTCTTTTTTTTTAGACAGGTTTTTGCTATAGGGCTTGTATACTCACGAGAAAGACAGAGGGAGACAGAGAGACAGAGAGCAAGAAATCACCCACCCACTCCCGGGGGGGGGGATGGCCACGCCACAATCCCTTCTCCTCCATTCTCTCGGGATCTTGGGAACGCACGCAGACATGCCTTGCATGAATTTAAGCCACTGGGTCTGGGACTAGAACCGTGGTCGACACATGGGAATCCAGCAACATAGCCATTATTCCAACTGCTGGTCCCTCTTTATTTTCTATCCTGCAACTTTGCTGAACTTTTTTTCCCCGTCATCATTTAAGAGTTTTTCTGGTGAATTCTTTAGATTTTTCTATGTATATAATCATGTTGTCCACAAGTAGGGAAATTTTAACTTCTTCCTTTCCAATTTGGATTACTTTTATTTCACTCTCTTGTTTCATTGGATTGACTAAAATATTTAGTACTATGTTGAATAAGAATACAGAAAACAAACATCCTTTTCTTGTTCCAGTTTTGAGAGAAAAAGCTTTTAATTTCCCCCAAATTGTTAGTTGTGGGTTTGTCATATATGGTCTGTATTATGTTAAGAAATGTTCATTATGTACCTATTTTGCCGAGAGTCTTACTCATGAAGAAATGTACTTTATTGAATACTTTCTCTGCTTTAATTGGTATGATCATATGGGTTTTTTTTTCTTTTTTTTTCTGTTAATATGGTATGTTACATTTGTTGTTTTGTGAATGTTGAACCTTCCTTGCATCACTGGTATAAAACCAAGCATTAGTTGATTGTAGTGTGTAATGTTTTTACTGTATTATTGGATTTGGTTTTCTATTACTTCATTGAGATTTTTTTTCATCTGTAGTCATCAAAAATATTGGTCTTCAGTTTCTTTTTTTAAATGTATTTGTCTGCTATTGGCATCAAAATGATGGTGGCTTAATAGAAGGAATTTGGGAGGGTTCTCTCCACTGGGATCTTATGACATAGTTTGAGGAGAATTGGTATTCTTTTAAAACAGACTTGCAGAATTTTGCAATGTCACCATCTGGACCTGGACTTTTTTTTTCCTAGGAGGTTATTTATCACTTATGCAATCTTTTTACTTGTTATTAGATTATGCATGCTTTCTTCTTCCTGGTTTTTATCTAGGTATGCTATATGTATTTGTCCATTTCTTCTGGATTTTCCAGCTTGTTAGCATATAGTCACTCATAGTAATCCTTAATGATCTTTTGTATTTATGTGATATTTGTTGCAATATCCCCTTTATTATTTCTGACTTTATTTATCTGGGTCTTTACTTTCTTTTTCTTAATTAATTCATATCATTGTTTTTCCATTTTTCTTATTCTGTCCAAGAATCAGCTTTTAATTTTCTTTTTTTCCCTTTTTGCTATAGTACATGTGTGCTCACCAGAGAGAAAAAGAGAGAGAGAGCGAGAAAGTGAGAAGTCACTCCCTTGGAGGGATGGCCACACCACAATTCCTTCTCCTCCAGTCTCCTTTTGGGAACTTGGCATGCACACATTTGTACCCAGCATGATTTTCAAGCTGCCAGGTCTAGGACCCAAATTATATGGTTGGCCATGTCTACCACCATAAACTCCATGCCACTCACTGGCCCCAGCTTTTTGTTTTCTTGATTTTCTTTTTGGTATTACTCTTTTGTTCTCTAGATCATTTATTTTTGCTTTGATCTTTATTATTTCTTCTATTATGTTTCTTCTATGACTTTCTTTTCTTCTATTACTTTAGCTTGTTTTGTTTTTCCAACTTCTTGAGATATGTATTAGGTTGTTTATCTGCAATCTTCCTATATTTTTTCTTATGAGCACTAATTGCTCATAGAATTCTGTTTCCCTCTTAGTACTGCCTTTACTGTATTCCAAGGTTTCTGAAGTGTAGTATTTTCATTGTCACTCATTTCAAGAAATTTTAAAATTTTATTCTTTTTTTTTTTTTTGAGAGTTTTTTTTTGCCATAGGACGCGTGTGCTCGCCAAACAGACAGAGAGACAGAAAGTGAGAAATCACCCCCCGGGGGGATGGCCACACCGCAATCCCTTCTCCTCCATTCTCCTCTTGGGATCTTGGGCACACATGCACACGCACCTGGCGTGAGTTTAAGCCATCGGGTCCAGGACACGAACCACGGTCAACTACGTGGGAGTCCAGTGACATAGCCATTACACTAACTGCTGGTCCCTAAATTTCATTCTTAATTTCTTCAGATTTGAAATTATTGAGGAATATGTTGTTTATTTATGTATTTTTCTTTTTGCTGATTTTAAGTTCGATTCCATTATCATCTGAGGAGATGCTAGATATGATTGCTTTTTATTTTAGTTTATGGTTTCTTATTTACATTCAATCACTGTGCATCTCTACAGCACATTATATGTTTTTCAATATATGCATGTAGTATATGGCAATAAGATCAAGGATATTACCTTAAACATTGCCTTCAACAGATAACTTTGTGATTTCTATCATTTTAAATTTGTAGAGACTTGTTTTGTGCAACATAATGGGGCAGAAAATGTTTCATGAAACAAAATGCTTCATGTGCTGCTGAAAAAGAGTGTACATTTTGTGTTGGGTGAAATGTTCTATAAGTGTCCATTGGGTCCATTTGGTTTATAACATTTATTTATTTAAAGAATTATTTTATTTAATTTATTATTATTATTTTTTTTTAATTTGACCAGAGAGAGAGCGAGGGAAACTGAGAAAGCAAGCTGTCTGGTCTAGGACTTGAAGCGCAGTTGGATATGTGAGTCCAACACCTCAACCACCACACCACCTGCCAGCCCCAATATCATTACTTTTTATTGTATTTTTTATTTATTTTATGATTCATTTATATTCCATCATTGTACATTTGTATACTGTACAATATAGTTTTTTAAAGTATGCATGTAGTACTTGACAATCAAATCAAGGATATTACCATATGCATCATTTTCAACAGAGAACTTTACGTTCTTGTGTCTGTGAAGTGTTTCTTCCCTGAGCCCCTCCCGCTCACCTCCACTGCCCTGCCATACAGTCTCTGGTATCTATACTTGTCTTCCCTACTATTATATCTTTGGATCTTTCAGTTTCTGCTATAGAATGCAGACAACTGATATATATTGAGCAAGGATATATGGTATTTGTCTTTCATAGTCTGGCTTATTTGGCTTAGCATTAAATCTTATATGCATCTAATTTTATTGTGTGTTTTTTTTTTCTTTTTTAGGTTTTTGCCATAGGGTATGTGCACTCACTGGAGAGAAACAGAGAGAGAGAAATGAAAATCCCCATACAAAATGGCCATGCCACAGTCCCTTCTTCTGTATTCTTCTCTCAGAATTTTGTGCATGTATGCACATGTGCCTGGTATGATTTTCAAGCCACCAGTCCAGGACTCAAACTGTGATCAACCATGTGGGAGTCCAGTGCTTTTACTACTATGTCACCTGCAGACCCTGCATATACTTTTAATCAAATGATTTCTTTTCTTTTCTTATTGCTGAGTAGTGTTCCATAGTGAATATGTGCCACATTTTTCAGCCAGTCATCTGTTCTTGAGGTATTATGTTGTTCCATGTCTTAGCAATTGTGAATAATGCTGCAATGAAGGTGAATGTGCAAGTGTCTTTATGACTGAGTGTTTTCAATCATTTTGGTAAATACCAAGGAGTGGTATTACTGGGTTGTATGGTGATTCTATTTGTAGGTTTCTGAGGAATCTCTGTATTGTTTTCCACAATGACTGTATTGGTTTACATTCCCACCAGTGGGGTGGGAGGACTCCCATTTTGCCACAGCCCCAACAGCACTTATACTTCTTCTTTTTTTTTTTTAATCATTCTGAGGTTAACTGGTATTTCATTGTGATTTTTTTTTATAAAGAAAAGAGATTTATTTGACTCATGATTTAGTGGCTGAAAAGAGGATGATGCCAACATCTGACACTGTGTTACAACATGGCTAAAAGAAGACAGAAAGACAAGCAGATACATGTAAGGAGAGAGAATCATGCCAGTGGCCAATGTGCTTTTTTTAATTTTTTTTTATTATCATCATAATCTTTATATTACGTTGGATTACATATAA